ATTCACACCTGCATGGGTAGAGGTAACGGCTATATTGTTTGGGGTGGAAAGAAATGGGGGACTGGGATCATGAGGCCTCCGCCTCCTTTCACACTCCTCCAGGCATCCAGATAACACCAGATATGGATCTAGTGATGGTTGCCACCTCCCCAGTGCTTGGTTTCATGCTTGGCATGCAGCTACCTGGTGAACATGCCTTGGACTTTGTGACTAACTTTTTTCTCTCCGTCTACAGAAGGGAGGGGTGGGGGGAAGGTGTCTGACTTTAAGATCTGGTTGTATCTCCTGCTGTTCTATTCTGATGTTGTTAACAAATAAAAATTACTTTAATTCCTTACGATGAGTCTGTCTTTTGCCTATGACCTTTTTAAGTGGTGAGAAGCCCTCCCAGTCTTTATTTTGACTAGCCCTTTTTTGGGGGCATGGTGGTGTTGTTATACACTGGGCCTAAACCACAACAATGATCCATTTGTCATTGCCTGTTATAATGCATTTCAAAAATGCATCGTTTTCTTCACATTTCAAGAATTGCGTATGTCAGTGCACTTGGTGAGATGAATTTGCTTGAGCTCATGTAGTACCCAAATATCAAGCTGCTGAACATATCCAAGTTGTTTTAAAGGGATTTCAACACTCAATTTTGATATGTCATTAAACATCAATTGGATTCAATCATTGCCTATATTTTGTCACCAGTTCCTACTGGCCTTCCTGGTTGTGGTGTGTCTTTAACATCAAAATCTCCAGACTGAAATTTAGCAAACTAATTCTGACACTGCTGTAGTTCTAAGGCATCTCCACCATACAGATCACATAACTTTTAATGAGCTTGCAGAGCATTTTTTCCTCTTTGGAAGCAATACAGCAAAATATGATGAAAATATTCCTTTTGATTTTCCATTTTGAAATCAATGTCAAATAAATAATTGTTAAAGAAGTCGTGCACCTTCATTTTCTAAAACAACCTTGAACCGTCAGCAGTTAAGCTACATAATGAAATTGAAGTTTAAAATCAAGTTAGATACATTTAACAACAATGTCCATCTATTAAAAAGAAATGCAATTACCTTTTAGCCCAACAAAAAGGACATAAGGAAGAGTTTTTTCACTATGAGGGTGGTGAGACACTGGAATAGGTTGCCCAGAGAAGTTTTGGATGTCTAATCCTTGGAAGTGTTCAAGCTCAGGCTGGACAAGGCTTTGAGGAACCTGATCTAGTTGAAGATATCCGGACCTCATGATCTTTAAAGATCTCCTCCAACCCCAACCACTCTGAGATTCTACTTTAAAAATTCAAATTTGACCCATTGCTAGAATACTATCAGCACTAATAAATTTGACAGCTACCACTTTTAACACTAGCATATTTTATGATCTCAAGTTCCACACCAAGTTTAAGACATTCTGCACTGGGATCCTGCAAAGCCTACCTGACTGCAGTTTGGCCTGCAAAAATAAAATTTTCAGCATAAAAGCCCAGGCTTGAATTCCAAGAAATTCAAAGTAAAAGAAAGGCCTAATCTTCATCAGAAAAAGCATTTCATTTTATTTTTTCTTCAGACTGACTCCCTTCTGCTCTTATAACTACTCTACCCCAGTGGATACCATGTCAGACACCAAATGGACTTCTGTGCAAAGCACACTTTTCACCATGCGAGATGACACAGACAGGAGAACAATAGAAATTCAGGTACTGTAATGCAGCACTAGGATTAAACCACTTCTGTTCTGAAGCAGGCAAGGCACAATAATGAACTTGGAAGAACACACACCTACACATGAAACATAGAAAGCTTAAGATGTAGATTTATTATGCATTAGGAAGCTTATTAACTTAAAAACCAAACCGCATAGTATAAAAGGTTTTTCATCTCTGCTCAACATGGAACAAGTTTCAAAATATATATTTTTAAAATCTGTTCAGTCAATACACAATCCTTTTAAAAAACTGTATATCTGTCAGTACCTTCATTACATTTATAAATACATGATTTACACAGCACCCCATCTGGAAAAATTAAAACCCCTCACAAATATCTACATATATTGCATACATATAAAACATTCATAGGAGTACTTTGTTAAAGTTGGGTTTAATGGTCCATTTATACTGCAGCAAAATACATATAAATCTGTGTATTCTTCATAAAATGTCTCTAAAAATAGCACATTTTTAGCCACTCATAACTCCTTTAAAGCATCTTTTAGAAAGGAAATTTAATATGAATATGTCCATGAGATTCAGCAGATAAGACAGTGATATGAAGGCTAAATATGATTAATTAATGATCACTATGTAGCAGTTAAGGCAGGGGTGAAAAGAATTAATAGGAAAGACTATTTCATATGGCAGATAAAGTGACAAAATGCAATAAATATACGTATTTCTTGATGTAAACTACTCTGGCACCCACTCTTTTTTTCCTGCCTCAGGAAGTCAGGATTGTCCATATTTCTGATGCTGCTCATTTTATAATTAAAATTCTATTTTTTTATCAGCAAAACATTTGTGTGACGAGTGCTCTCAGGTGCCACAAGGATTTGCTTTAACTGCACAGAACTGACTGTTCTGGAATGTGAGTTTAAGACTTCAGTATGACCTTCGCTATTAGCTAATGACTGTCATGTGTGATCATACACCCTCAGAAGTCATCTCAGTTTCACCACTGTTTTCTGGTAATTACTGGACTTCTCATTACTAAATAGTACTTGAGAATGTGTCTCCAGGAAGTTTACTTACTTCTGCTGACAACCACTATTTCAGATACCAAAACTATATAGGTCAGTCCCTCTCACACTGTGAGGTCTGCATGTGGCATACATGCAGACAAAAGATAAAAGAAATGCAAAACTGTTCTGCCTCAAACCTGATTGTTTTGCATTCAACTCTGGGAACCAAACATTCAAGCTTTAAAAAAACCACATTATGTCTGTATATTCAGGTTTCTATCCCATATCAGGATAGCATCTGCAGTCCAATAGAAGCACACCTAGTTGCAACCTGTCATGCTAAACAAACCCTCCTGCAAGTATGGTATCAAACTCAACTATCATGTAGCATGTGACCTTCCCTTGTAGGCAGCTGTCTTCCCTTCAGAGGCGAGATACTGTGTACATCCAAGCTTCCAGAGACACAACTCAGTGCATGAATTTATTCCACAGTCTCCTCAGAAGTTAGCCTTCATACACTGCTATCTTGCAGCAATGGTTCAATGTCCTCTTCGCTACTTTGGTCTAGGTTATTACTCAGGGTACTGCTGATGCTGTTGCTGTGTCTTCTAGTACTGCTGGCTTTGCTGTGCTCAGGAATAAATAAGGCCACTAGAAAAGCCAGAAGAACAATGCATGCTCCAACCAGGAAGGGCGGACCAGGAATGATTGCTCTCTGAAAAGAAACAAGCATTTCAAAGAATTAATTAAGTTTTAGACATTGATTTCTGCATTAAGAACTATACTATTAAGGCAGGAGATAATGGGAGACATATTTACAGACTTGTTTATGCAAACAAGTTCATATGTGCACTACAACATGAATTCTCTGCACCCACAGTCCTTAAGAAGAATTCCTCACCTGATCTGCATGCTGATCTAAAAAAGAAAGATACACAAAACTATCAGTTGACAATAGGATTGCCCAGCAGACAAAACAGACATTGATTGATGTTTCTTTGTAATTTTCTTTCCTTTAGGCAACATGCCTGTTAAATCAGCAAGACTTCTCTGAAGACTGATAGGATAAGGTTTCAACATCCAGAAGTACAAATGCTCAACAAATCTTTAACTTAACTTCACTTTTTCCACTTACTTACATGGCTGACATACTTTAGAATCAAGTTAGTTGAGTAAACAAACAACCCCAAAAACTAAAACCTGATTGAGGAAAGTTAACAGCAGGCTATGCAGTATATGCCACTTTCACTGCAGCGACAAGTTGCTAGTGTGTATGATAATTTGGTACCTGGAGCTATTCTCTCTTGCTTCTAAGTAGTTTCTTTTAAACTTTAAAGTATTAAAAAAAGAACCAGATAGGTTGTAAGACTAATTTTAAACCAGCTATGTTTCATGACAAAGCTCTACAAAAGAAAGTGTCAGCAACTCAGCGATTTTTTTTTTAAATCTTAAAAAATTTTGCCGTATTTTTGTCAATTGAAACTAAAAAATCAAAAGATGAAACTTGTTGATCCACTTATTTTCCTACTGAATGAAATGCAGGAAGTTATTCTAATATGGAGTGGGAAAGTAGTTGAAATTAAGCATACAGTAAGAGTCTATTCCTCTTGCTTCAACTCTTGTTACAGAGGCCTAATTTTTCAGCTGATGGTCTCTAAATTTAAAGTAATATGATTATATTAACAGAATTTCTATTAATGATATTACTTAAATCTTCAAGTAGTGCTAAGCCCACAAAAGTACTTAAAGCATGTAATAAAGTTCCATAAATTAGTATCTTCATTTGTAGTTAACAACTGATTTATCTGAGCAGCTTTTTGAATATTCCACTATTGCAGTTTCACTGAAGAGAGTAAGAAATTTTGAAAAGCAGTCCGTACTCAGTCCATTGCCAAGCGTTATTACTACTGTCCAAGTACAGCCTATGACGGCACTGTTTGCTGTAAGGGCTCCCTGTGGATAATTACAATCATGCAACATCACACTCCTCTTTAGGCTCTCCAGTTATTTAAATGACAATTAAGACCAATATGCTCTTTAGAGCAGATAATAAATCTTTCTTGAATCTATTCAAGAAATCTATCTATATGACAGATATTTCTTTGTCAGAAGAGAATCACAAGTGTGACCTATGGTAACATTGTAACTCTCCCACTTCCATGAGAAAAAAAGTGTGATATTCAGCAAAATCCTACTGTTAAGTCCTCTGGAGTAACAGAAATGAATACTTAAAGGCAAGTGAAAAAAAATAAATAAAATATTTAAGTTCAAGCTGCTTAAAAAACCACCAGAAATCAGCACTAGGATGTATTCTCCTCCGTTTACTCTACACAGTAAATAACTGAAATTTGCATCCTGACTTTCCTGTCACCACTGTTTGAATACGAAGGTTTATAGAATCATTATATCTCACAAGTCATTTTAGCACTCTGCCCATCAGTGAACACAGATAACTTTATATCAAAACAGCTTTCTCTCAAAGTAAAATGTGTCAGATATCACACAATTTTATTCTTCACATTAATAATTTTAACAATATCTATATAAATAACCTCTTTCTGATAACACCTTAAAAGTCTATTTCCTGTAGTTATAGTAACACCCAGTATTACAGTAGTGGAAACAAAAGAGGAAGAACTGGTTTTAATTCATCTCAACAGCACATTTGGTCTGATCAAGGTTTAGCACAGTAACAGTGCATTATCAATTGAGTTCCTATAGACTCATTGCCTTTGACAAGCAGAGGTAGAATACAAGATTAAGCATTAAAAAAAAATTAACAATGCTTGTCACAGACTAAAACACATCATATCACTTAACTGCCATTTCACAGACATCCAGTAACTTTTTAAAACAAAGTGCTTGATTATTCAAACTTGTTATTAAAATGCTTCTTAGTGAACATTGATTAGCATTTAATAAAATGAAGACAATATATTTCAAACTACTTATATCTGTAAAGCAACTCCTAGTTATCAATTTAAAACACGGAACAAAATTAGGAGACAGGTAGCTTGCATTTGGGCCTTGCAAATCCAAGGTACTAGTACCAGCATTGTAAGCTAGGTGTGTACACATTTGTCTAATTTTTAATCTAATTTGTCTAACACTCTCTCTAATCTTGGTGCATTCCTTGCTTTTCACTTACACTCATTTTACTTAGATCAATTTTAAAGCTATGATATTTAATTTGTGCAGTTGTTTCCCACTGTTATATTAGACTTGAACTTAAGAATTAGTGAATAAATTGGGGAAAAATATGTTATTTTCCTGAATAATATTTTTATGTGGTAACTAGTAACAGGGAGAAATGTAACTACAGACGTTTAACAAAGCTTATGACTGTACACGTAATTAAACATAAACTGAAATTAGCATAAAAAACAACCTTAGCTCTGCAAATACTTACTGATTCTGTTGTACTGCTAACACAAAGATGTCTACTTATTTATTAAGTAGGTTTTCAAGAAAACAAGGATGTCTGAAACAAGTTTAATTTACACATACAGCTTAGAAAAATCATTATTTTATAAGGAAGCTCATACATTAGTCTTCAGCAGAGGAATTTCTTTTACCACAAACTTTAGAAGATTCCGTAAAAGAAGTTTTGACTCATTTATAACTTACTGGAATAGTCAGTTCCACCACTGTAATACCTCTGGGCTATTTGAACAAAAAACACCACATGGATATTCTTAAAGTACAATCAAAAAGTCAACATACTCCCTGCTCTCAACAAAAGATAAGGTGATTAATGCTCTAAAGAGCAAAATGCTAATTAGTGGAAGCATGACAAAGCTCTTTAAAACCTGTAATCATGATTATAAAGATTTTTGCATAATTTTCTAAGTTCCTTTTTGTACAATAAAGAGAGTGTCCTTGCCCCCTTACTCCAAAACAATACTTGGTTTGCCTGAGCAAATTGTGGAGCACCTCATCATAGGTACAGCAGTGAGTAACACGTTCAAGCACTGTTTCCAGTTAATACCTGGAAAGATGCAGATTGGACAATGAACAACAAACAGTTGTTTCAAAGGTAACAGCTGCCAGTTTTATTGAGCTAATCTGTTGTCTTTTTTAATCAGCTTAATGACAAGCTAAGAGATCATCAGCTCTCTGAAAAGTCCATTCTTAGTACTTTGAAAAAGCAACTAAATTGTAGCTGAAGAAGTCAAAGCAATCGAACTAAAAAGAAAAAAGGGTTCATAAGATTCTCCAAACTCTGGTAAGCATATATTTAATATTTTGGAATAAATACAGGAAAGAACAAAGCAGACAGAAATGCAGACCTGAAGCAAAGATGGAAGGGATACAAGAAAAGACTGAAGGGGGTTTCAAAGAAATGTATAGGAATGACTTCTCCCCTCCCACTTCCAACTTTCACACAGGTAAGGAAAGGTGATGAATTGCATTGTAACTGCCATTGAAAAAAAAATATCTCAACTGTATACTGAATTAATGTATATGTGAATAATTAACCTATTGCCTTGAGGTTCAAAGATACACTCATTACAATTTACTGAGTTACCAAAAATGACCTTCATATTGTCAAAATTTCATATTTCACTGTAATTCAGGATTACAGTTCTATTTTGAGTACATTTACATCACAAGAAGTTAACTGGTTCTGTTAGAATACTGAAACCAAAACTGCTACTGCTGTAATCTAAGTATTTCTCATCAAATTTAAATGATGAGCTATCTTGGTATTTAAGTAAAGCTGACAAGTGAGAATGAAATAGTTCAAGAATTAGATACCAAGATTTTAAATAAATAAAAAATGACAAGGCTTTTACCCTTATGAGTTCTACACCTCAAAATTCACATGAAATTTTAAACTCACTTCATCACTGGGATCTCGCATTGCTGTTTTTCCAGAAGCCTGATCAGGTGGCAATTCATTGAGCTCCACGTGAAAGAGAAAAAAAATAAAGCCATACAGTGCTGGTCCCAGGCCATTGCACAGACCTCTTATTCCAGTTATTATTCCTTGGACAACACCTAATGAAAAAAGAATGAGTAAGTTTGTGTTTTGTTTTGTTTTGTTTTGTTTTGTTGTTTTTTTTAAATCAAGACTAAAACTATTTTTCTATGGCTGTTCCAAAACAGCACATCTCAATTATTCCTACACACTAAGATCTGAAGAAATACATTGAAGACAATTTTGCTGGATTAAAATAACCCTCTGCATGACCATAGTTCTGTCACTGTACTTGCATGCTACTGTAAGCAATACAAGTTTTGAATATGAGGGACTAAATTTAAATGCAAGTCTAATTTTCCATATTAGAGTTCTTCTACCCTCACCCAAAGCCTACAAAGAAGAATGCAGAGGCTAGGTGTGGTACCTGCTCAATTTACTTGAAAGTGAAATTCTGAGTCATATGTGTTAGCATTGTTATTGGGCAAAACATACAAAAACTATAACAGATTTCTTCCCTGCATTAGTCAAAAACCAGGATTTATTTAAGTACCAAGTAACTTATTCAGGACAGTAAGCTCAGCAGTACTGCAGTAAATTCACAATACTAGATAGGTTGCAGTTTTACATTAGATTATTTTAAAAGCTTGATTAATCAAAGTTCTATGAGTGCATTCTGTTTCTGTAATAACAGTGTAAAAATTTTTTTTATGATCTTACAGATTACAGTTCACAGAATCTTAGGAGTTGGAAGGAACCTTGAAAGATCATCCAGTCCAACCCCCCTGCCAGAACAGGATCACCTAGACTAGGTCACACAGGAATGTGTGCAGGCAGGTTTTGAATGTCTCCAGAGAAGGACAGTCCATAACCTCTCTGGGTAGCCTGGTCCAGTGCTCTGTCACCCTTACAGTAAAAAAAAAATTCTGTAGAACACTATTTTTTTCAATATTAGTAGTCTGTATATCCCATTAGGCAGTAACTTGTAAACTTGTAACTTAAGGCAGTAACTTGTAAAATGAGAGCAAAGAAAACATGCCAGAAAGCTCTCCAAGCTTTCTCATCATAGGTTGATACATAAAGTCTTCATGCCACTAGGTGGCAAAACTTCACTCTAGAAACTATTGTATGCCTGAGCTATTAACAGTAGTTTACATAAAATCAAAGATCAGTGACTTCTACCAACTTAATTAAACCATTCACTTCATGACATAAACAGAAATCAAGTCTTTTAAAACGCCTTTAAACGTCTCTATTAAAAACAAACATGGGGTAAAGAGGGGAATGATAAAATAAGCCATGTAAAATACTGTATTTTGTACTTTTCAAACTCAGTAGAAATCTTTCTCCTAGAACTTCACCCGTTTTGTACCTCTCATATTACCTGCATTTACCAAACTTCAAAGTGCACAATGTTAAAGCAAGACAGATACTTACAGGTACAGGATTTTTGAAAAAATAACACTTAATTCAATTATTATACGTCAGTGTTATACTTTGTGATGGCTCCTTCCTTCACTTCACTTTAAATGAAGAGTTATTTCTGATTGTTCATTTCCCTTTAAATCAAAACCATTGAATTTTTCTGTCTTCTCAGATTAACTATTTACTTAAGCTTCCTTTTCTATTCCTTGAAAATCTAAAGTCTTATAGTAAACAGAGCCAATTCTTCCCGACAGAACAAAGCTTCTTTCATAGGTTTATTTTAATCAAGTAAGATGTGGTTTTAGTCTCCATTAAAAAGATGACATTGTTACATTAATCCTACTAATCTACTTTGAGAATATTAATCAAAGAAAAAGGAAACAACATGAAAGTTACCACATCTGTCTTTGTTGCTTTTGTAGTACTATTACAGAAAGCTAGAAGAGAAGTAGCTGGTAAGACAGAAACTATGTAGTTTGCAATGCAAATTGGATAAATTTGTGTACCTTGTTCCTCCCTGCATAGATTGGCAGATTTCCACAGCCACTCCCAAAGAAACTCATTCATCATCAACATATATGCAAAGTACACCTAGATAAGCATTCTGCTTTCTAGACAGAAGAGTCATCCAAGAAAGCAGACTGATGCTGAAACAGAAATTCAATCCATACTCACCTTGTTGATCTGACTCTGCATTTCGTGAAACCAGAGCACTGATTGCTGGGAACGTAATGCTTGACGTTGCTGCTACAGCTCCTGCTGCCCACATCATCCTGTGTTAAATACACAACCTGAATTAAAAATTAGATTGCCCACATAGTTACTCCCCACCCACCCAACAAGGGCCACAAGGGCCCTCACTTAAGGTTCAATGCCCTTTCAAAAGTACTCTTATTAAAATACCTAAAGACTGGAAATTATCTGGTCATGACCTTCCTCCTGCTCTCCTCCCACAAATTACTCTTGAGCTTCCTGGAACAGAAGCACATTTGATTCTACACTAGCTAGGACAGCAGAGGAAAAGAAGGGAGTGGGAGTGAAGTGATGCACAGGCTTTGCCTCACCAAAGTTTGTACATGGGAACAATTTCACAGGGTGTTCCAGAGAGGCAGTGCTCTAACTTGTGTAATTCACTAGGAAGTGTTCAGATAAAGAACAAGCTTTCATCACTGTTAGTAGGACAAACTTTGTAAAGAAAAATCAGTTCCAGCTCACTTTACTTACAGACAGGTTTCTCCTATAAAAGAAGCTCTACATAGTTTCCAAGACCAAATACAGTTACAGTAAGAGAATGACATGTTAGAAAAAAAGAACAAAGTTGAGGTCCAGTAACTGGATCGAGTAAAATCGCTGGAGAGAACATGCTGTTTACTAGCTTGTGAGTTTAAGAAAAAGTTTTAACCACATTTGTAGACATAAAACTCAGTGGACCAAAATGGTACAAAGACTCCTTTTACAAAAGGGCTGCTAGTCTGCAACTTACATTATATACCTAAAATTTTTATCAGTCCTACATGTGCAAAATACACAGTGCTGTGTAATGCAAGTTAGAACATTTAAAAACTCAGGATGACAGAACTAAATGTAGAAAGTCTTGGAAAAACATTTTCAGTTCCTTAACAGGTATGTACCTATGAAAATGCATGCTTACCAAGACTGAGATCCAAAACCATACCAAGCCAACTGAAGGATTTGAAAGCCAAGGCCAAGAAGAACTGTATTTTTATTCCCTATGGACCTCATCAAAATACTGAGAAACACAGTCTGAAAGAAAAATTGGTTCATCCAGAAGTTATTTTAAAAAGCCAGATTGCTGAAGTAATTTCTCCTTCTACACAAAGTAATTCAGAAGACCTTTCAACTGTTAAGGAAATTCACACTCTTCATGCTCTTACTTTCTCTGCGTTAAGTCCAAAATGCTGACTAGTCATTATCAACATTTGACATACAGACATTCTTAACTATTAATGAGTTTCTACTTCAGGACTTCAAGAAGTATACATATTGCCTTCTCTACAGACATATTTCACTGTCCATTTCTACCGTAAACAGGTTTTCGTTTCCACCTCTACAATTCTGTTTCATTACAGGCTAGAGAGTTTCACAACAAATGCTGGTACCAAGTTAAGACAGCATAGGCTGGATACGGGTTGAGTCTACCAGTATTCACACACGCTAAAGAAAAAAAGACTCTCAGCTCAGAAAAAAGTAATCTCTTTAGGTCCAGTAAATTACTATTCACATTTACAATTAAAAAGAACAAGTAAATCCTGCTGCTTTGCCAACTTCACCATATCCACTGAAATTTGGCCAAGGCCACCTCCTAGGCATCTTTAATTACATTTTCTACTGACTCTTTGGACCACTCATGTGACCTTTTTATTTGCACATGGAAACAAATCGTAAAGGAAAGCCACTGTCTTTCTTGTGTTAGAAGTGTTACTGCTGATGGGGAAGGAGATCCTAATGCAGATACAACAGCGATACATTCATGGCAAGAAGCAGACTGTTCCTTGTCTGAGGCAAAGTCTATATGGACAATCTCACTCAGTTAACAGAGCACATGTTTTTCCTTAACATGAGAAACTTAGCAATGCATCAGTACCATCAGGAACCAGGACTGCAGAGTAAAGCATATTCCTCTCATGTATATGTTACTCACATTAGCTTTTTTGTTTAGTTTGAAAGCTAAATAGCAAAAATACAGTAATTCTATCTACATGGTATTAGCTTTTTCTGGAAATATCCAACATGCCAACACAAATCAGTATTTATTAAGCAAAGTGTATTTCAATGAGATGTACTCTTCAGACAGTTCAAAAATCAATGCAGAATTTCCACAATTTAACACCAAAACTTGTGAACCAGAAAGGCTACCATTTTAGAGATTTTCAGCAAAACTACAGGTCTGAATAAAGGATGATCGGCAAATGTGAGCATACATAAAAGCATTGGAACAAACCACAGAGCAAGAACTAAAATAATGACTTGTATTGATAATGAAGGACACAACTGACACAAGTAAAACTGGTAAGCACTGAGGAATGTATTGTTTACATCAAAACAGCAAGTCGTCCACTCAGCTAAGGATGGCAACAAGGTTACAACCAATAACTGTGTATGTGCCAGTCCTCCCATTATCACAACAGGAAGATAAACTGTACCACAGATACCAAAGATCACATAATAAAAACTGTTTTATTTCTAAAAGGACCTGTCCAAAAACCACCTTACAACTGCCAATTAAGAGGTATGAAAACAATATACGAAGGCCTTACAGTTCCTCAGCCTTCATGGTGAGCCTAAATAACCCTGGAAAGACCATGCCAATACCTGTATTGTTTGTAAGCGAGTTTGATAGCATGAGCTAACTGAATAGGTGAAAGAAGCATTACTTTTCCTTAAAATAAATAACACATTTCCCTTTCAGAAGGCCTTGCATCAAGTAACCAATTTCCTACATCATTTTAATCATGTAAAGCCAGATTTCCAGTAAATTTACTGATCCAAGCTTAGCAAATTTTAGTTTCATTTTCTAATCCCTAGGTCCAATATTTCTAACAAAGCAGTATTAAAGCAAGACATTTATGCAGTCTGTATATAAATATAACCTTTAGTGAATGCAAATATGGTATTTTAGAGCACGCAAGAAGTTTACAGTCAAGCTTAATAGTCAGAAGAATGTGCCTCAGCATTCAGTTTGTACTATTTAATAAAACACTAAAAAGAATAAAGTTTACCTGAGCTATTATGGACAGAATGCCCACCACAGCTATAAATGCCGCAATGCTAGCAGATCCAAAACCTATAATCTGAAGGAGAAAATGCATAAGACAAATGCCAAACACAATCCAAGAAAATCACTAGCAAAGAGCTATCTTCTTCAAAAATCAACACTGATTCCTATTTATGATCTAAATCCATATAGGAAATGTCCACTTTCAAGACTAATCCTTAGCTCAACTACTTGCCAAGAAATTTGCCCAGGAAAAAAAATACAACTGCCATAAGAAAAGGAGACAGGCTTCACAGATAGTGAGTCCCCACAGACAGGCCTTCCAGTCAGTCATGTATCTGGAAACAGTTCTCTGTACAATCCCAGAGACACAACTGCTCTTCAACAGTTTAGATCTCACCTCAGAACACACAAACTGCTACACTGAATGAGAACAAAGGTCTGCTTAATTTTATACATACATGCTTAAGCTATGGCAGAGTTTAAGCATCAAGAGACAAGTGTCATTCAAATCCTGCCTTAGCAAAGTCCCCTGCCTTTATTTTTAAAGCAGTGTTTTGCCAGAAAGCAGTTTTCTGAACAAAGTCTTCAACAATAAACAGGTCTTATGGAATACTTATTTAAATATCCTTAGTAAGATGTGAAGACAGCAACATTTACCTGTCGCAAGTACAGAAAAAAGCTTGAATACTGGCCAGCCTCAGGCAGATATGAAAGAAACACTGTAATGCAGATGGGGAGAACTGTAGAATCTTTTCTAACCTTCTTCAGGGACTGTAAAACAAAGAAACAAAACAAGTATTGGAACGTATATGCAAAGTCATATATAAAGAACAAAGAAAGCGGAAGGTGGATTCACTTTTTTAAAATCCATTTTTATCATAAATACAAGTCAAAAAAGTCACACATGGAAACAGTTAAGTGAACATTAAGTCAGAAACTTAACGTAAGTAGAAACTTATGTAAGGTTTGTGGTATCTGATTCTTCTGCAAAGTTTCTGTTTCATTTCTGAAGCTACTACTCAGTGCCAAATGACAAGTATTCACTGAAAACAGCAGCATATAAAATTTAGGGAAATACATAATATCTTATAATCGCTCTCCATAATAATCTGTTCTGAAAGATGCTAGCAAATAATACAGCTTCATAACAACTGTTTATTACCTTGTATTTTTTTCCTTGTACATTCTTATATTTGTTCACTCATAATATGAATCAGTTTGAGTAACAAATAAATTGTGGAAAACTAATTCCTTTACTGCAAGCTTTCAAGTATGTCACTCATATCTCAACATTCGTAAACAGTTCCCAGCAGAATGGATCTCATGAAGAATAATCACTCTTT